TTAACCTTCAAAGCTTGCACCATCATTTGAGAGTTATCTTTAATGTTGTTTATTAAGAAAAAAATTAAAAGAAACTCAACATGTCCATAATTTAAGTAAAAAAATATCATTCATATAAAGTGAAAGGTGCTATTAGTGAATTTTTTCCGTACATACCACACTTTTGGGAAAAAAAATTCTATAATGACACAATCTGAAACGAAAATCCCAGAATGCCACACACAGAGGGCTTCACGCCATTTCAAATGGCGCAAAGGTGGAACCCTTTGTACAGCATAAGGACTCTCGCCATTTGAAATGGCGTGAATGGGGCTTTTTTTTAATTCGTTTTATGATTTTTCTGTTATTTATATTAATTATTTTTATTATTTAATTTTATTATTAATTATAAATAATTTAATAAACTATTTAATTATAAAATTAATTAATAAAACATTAATTTGAAAACTTAAATAATTATAAATTAACAATTACAATTAAATAATAAAAATTATTATTAAGTAATAAAATTTAACAATTACAATCAAATTACTAATTAAAAAATACAGTTAAAAGTAGTTATAAATAACAATACATGGATAAAAATAGTTAGAAGGGTCTGTATTGTTGAGGCGATGCAGATATTTTTTGCGCATGTGTGGTTGTTAACAGATTCCGCGTCGTCTTTTTATTTTCTCAACAGTGTCCATTTCAGTTCTAATGTGAGTACTGTTCGGGCGACCTTTTTAGTTTTGTCGCATCCTCTCATCATGCAAAAGAGTATCGCCCAAATATGGAGGTCGGCTATCTTGTTTGTGAACACCGAAGAAACTTTGTATGTAAACTTTGAAGACGTCTATAATTCTATACACATGAGGAATAAACTTAGTATAGTCGTGGTTAATGTGAGAACAAGTCACGATAGCATGTGAGCAAGGCAGATGAAAAGTTTGAAATTTCCCACAATCACAAGTTCGTATTTAGAGGTTGACGTTGAAATGAGTAAGTCGCCGACAATTCCTATTATTAACCGTCTCTTGGACCACGAAATAGTGACTATCACGGTCAAAAGCCAAAACATTATAACTGAGATTTTTCTACTTCTTCTGCAATTCCTTTCATGCAGTTATCTGTGAATTCCTTTCTCGAGGACAAATTTTTTGTCCAATCCTTTCCTCGCTTCCCCCATAATTTCCCCATCCTGTAGTATGTTGATTTTACAAGTGATGTAATAGGTAGGTTGCGGGTTTCCTTCAATACTGAGTTCAAAGATTTAGCAAGGTTGGTTGTCATGTGACCTCATCGTGCTCCTCCGTCGTAAGCTCGCGACCATTTTTCTCTTGGAAGGTTCTCTATCTAATTGAAAGCCTCTATGTTTGTTTGGCGGATCTCCTCTCGATAATATGCGTATGTAGACTCATTAAGTGCATACCCTGCATATAAGCCTTAAAAACATTAATATAAAAGAACTATATATTTAAGTGTCATGTTAAAAAATAGAGAATGAATTATCCATGTTAACAACTGTCTTGCGAAGGTTTTTGCCCTTGATGACTCACATGAAATTTTGTGTGGTGTGCCTAATGCAATACACATGTACCGAAGGTGGGTTCTGTCAACCATTGTCCGGGTTATTATAGGCACTCTTAATGGACTCATGTCGATCAGATATCAAACATAAGCCTGACTGGGGTGTGACGTGGAGTCTCAAATTTTTCAGAAAGAAACTCCAAGCCCCCCCCCCCCCCCCGTCTTACCTTCGACCAATGCATATGCGATTGGGAAAATGTTATCGTTCCCATCTTGTGCAACAGCCAGGAGCAATGTTCCCCTATATTTTCCATACAACGATGTACCATCTACCTGCACTATAGGTTTGCAATGTGCGAAACCCCTAATACAAGGTTGAAAGGCCCAAAAAATCCGATGGAAAATTCTTGCACCACCAATCTGTGTTCCTTCATTTGAATATACAGGAAGTATTTCAAGATCTATGACGGTACTTGGGAGAAATTGTTGCATGACTAACAACCACTGCGGAAAGTTATTGTAAGAGGCCTCCCAATTTCCATAAATATCTTCGATTGCTTTGTTCTTTGAAATCCATGCTTTTTTATAAGATACGGTGTAGCCGTAAGTCGTACGAATATGAGCAATAATATGTCTAATCTTGATTGTCGCGTCACTGTCGACAAGAGGTCTGATGTTATGGGCGATCATCTTTGAGGTAAGATTTTGGTGATATTGAGATATAGTAGTCGACATGCAAGTGTGTGGCCCTCCAATTCTGCCAATAACCCATTGACAACACCCATTCCTTAACGAAGCTCTACATGTGAAGCTGCATCCCTCCTTTTTACATTTAATCAAATATTGTGTCGGATCAGACTTACAAACCTTAAAAGTATAAGAATTTCTTATGTGATACTCAGATATTGCATGAAGACATGCTTTTTTATGTTGGAAGATGTGAGTATGTTATTGGGGCTTCCTGTAGATGGTAAAGCGGTAAATGATTCAACCGAGCTAGGTGTTGGTGCATGGAGTTCTATTTTAGGGGATGAACCTCCAGAAAGTGATAAAGGAATGACTGCGAGGTTGACATGGCTTAAATACATGTACCAACATGAACCACCAATTGAGGAGTCACCCGAAGAGTATAAAATTAGACATGCTCGTATTTATATGCTACTGCTCATCGAACAAGTTTTATTCCCTAACAAAAGCGATAATACTATCCACTCCAAATGGACACAATTTGTTGTGGATTTGGAAGATTGTGGAAATTTGAGTTGGGGTTCCGCTATTTTAGCTAATCTATGTAGGGAAATGTTCAAGTCTATAGACATCAAAGTAACAGAGATGCCAGGGTGCATTTTACTTCTTTAAGCTTGGACTTTTACACGCATGCCTATTATATCTCTGGTGGCTCCGCTTCAAGCTCCATATCCTTACCCAAGAAGGTAATATTTTAATTTTAATTTTAATTTATAATTAAAATTGTTAGGATACTTTAAAATAAAGTTTAATTTTAAATTCTTTTTAGGTGATGCATCAAGAAACTTGACTACTAAAATAACTCGCGTCACCATCTACAAAGATACCGATTCAGGATTGGTCACATGCTTCAAGACCAGGTTTTTTTATCTTCACTTTAATATTTCATATAAATTTATGGATTTTATTTTGGTTACACTAACAAGTTTTATCTATAACTTTTCAGTTTATTTGGAGACCGTATCTTGGATTAGCGCCCCAAAGGCACTAGAACAGTTTGATATGGAGTTCAACTACATATATAATATTTTTTCATATTGTAGAAATGCATCAAGCAGATAGGGTCAAACTATAATTTGACCATTTACAAGGGATACCTGAAGAACCTCGATGCCTTGAACACCATAAAATGACAACAATAAAAGTGCGCCAACAAGCATATATCATACTATACTCCGATGAACAAAATAGTTGATTGCGTCGAGAAATATTTACGTTGGATGGAGATCAATTACAAATAGAGGAGAAACCGTCCAATGAGTACATGCAATGGTATCACTCGCTTCCATATAGATATGTATCGTACGAACAATTTCTCACTGACCCTCGTCAAAATCAGTATGTCCCTACTCAGGCAAGTGGCTCTCAACAAATTCTACAACCATTCCAACAACAACCTCATCACTCACATCATTCTCAACCTCCTCATCCACAATCCTTCCAACAACAAAAACATATCTCCCATTATTCCCAACAACAAAGACTTATCCCCATTATCCTGAACAACAAACTTCTAACCCTCATTTTTCTCAGCTACAAACTCCTACCCTTTATTTTTACCAAAATCAAACCTTTAACACCAAATACCCGCAATCTCACTCCCAACTAAATTACATTTATAAATCCCAACAACCACAACGCAATTCACACATGAGACCAAACTTCGATTCCCCCTCCTCCCAACATAATCTTACAATTCGTCACAACAACCACAATACAATTTTGGCAAGGATATTAACGTCAGTGATTATGATTTACAAGGAAAGCATTTGATCTTCTCCGCAACCTACAACTTCAACTCAAGAAAATCCTCCAACATCAGATCCAACAAAATCCTCTAACAACATAGACCCAACAATAATATAGATATAGTTTTGGTCATCGTGTTCCTCGACCGCATTATTGTTTTACCTGTACTCATCAACATTAAATATTATAATTAATTATTACTTAATAATAATTTTTATTATTTAATTATAATTATTAATTTATAATTATTTAAGTTTTTAAATTAATATTTTATTAATTAATTTTATAATTAAATAATTTGTTAAATTATTTATAATTAATAATAAAATTAAATAATATAAATAATTAATATAAATAACAGAAAAATCAAAATACGAATTAAAAAAAAACCCTTTCACGAGAATCCTTATGTTTTATGATTTTTATTTTTGAGATTTTCGTTTCAGACGGTACATTATAGAGTGGCATGTACGGAAAAACTTCACTGTTAAGACAACAATTATGGACCATCAATTTTCGACCCTTATCTTCCTTTTCAAAAGATGAGTAAACTGTTGCACATTTCAATGATCATTGACTCTCTATTTCTGACAAGTTTCTGACACATTTTATGAAAACAAAGCAGATATTGATGGTTCAGATTAGCTGAATTTTTTTAATCACACATAATGATTAAATGAATCTAGTTTTGTGAGCAATATCCAAATAATTCAGTCATTAGTAAAAGCTTCTATCCCACTAAAGAGAAAAAACCAAACATAATCAAACAAAGAAACAACGGTTAAAATACACCCATCACAAATCCAAAACCATAGAGATTTTGCTCAAAGATTTAAACATAAAACAACTTTATTTTATTATATAACTCCAAAAGGGTATTTGATATTTAAACCAAACACCAGAGTTCACATAAAACATACTACTACATAATCATAAACTTATTATTATTATTATTTTTCCTGCTACTAAACGGGGTAACTTTCACTGTCACCACTTCATTTGCAGGTACATGGGTTGCAGGTGCAGTTTGCTCCACATTTGCACCCATCATTCTCAGCTCCCATCTCAGCACTCTCATATTGAGCCTTCTCAGATCCAACTCCCATGATAAGTGTCTCAGAAGTTGTTGATTCTGTGTAGCTCAAATCAGCATACATCTTGCACCTACATCAAATTTAAAATCAAAACAAAACAAAAATCAAATATTTAGTTGAATTGAAACAACCTATGAAATTCTGACACAGACACTGATACATCAACACAGGAACAATAGACATAGACAAGACACATGTGTAGCTGTGTGACACAGATACAACCGACACACCATTTTTCAGAAGTATTGTTTGACACAAAATAAAATACCCTAATAAGAGGAAAACAAAGAATCAAATGATCACAATTTCCCCAAAACCAAATGAAATGAATGAATGAAGATCTCACCCGCCGCAGCCAGAGCCGCACTTGCAGCTACTTCCGCAACCACAGTTTCCACCACAGCAAGACATTTTCAGAGGATGAAATCGATGAAACACAAACAACAAAAGATGATTTAAGACACAAACAACAACACAAGCTTCTGAATGAAAAGAAGCAAGGTCTGAACTCGGTTTTATAGGAAAATTATGAAATATCTACGGCCACGTGTTCAAATCTTAGGGTGTTATAATCTAATTGCGGATCTATCAACACGTCCAGCGTCGTTTTCGTGAACACGTCTCTTAGTGGGTTTGTGACTGGTTTTTGTGCTGTGTTTGGAGGATGTACTTGCGGTTTTAAATTGTACACCGTTGGATGCTATATTCTGATTGTGATTGCAAGAATCTATGGATGAAATTGTTTGGATTGTTCGATACTTAAAAGTACAAAATTTAGATATAATTTTCTAATTATGATTTTTATTATAAAAATAATAAAAATTATATCTAAAAAATTGTATATAAGTTTTGTCCGACTTAAAATTAATAAAATCAAACAAATATAAATAATTATTTATAAAAATTATATTTTTTAATTGTTATTTTTAAAGTTTAAAGTTATATTATTTTATCAAAATTATGCTGAATCATCATACTAAATTTTATAATCATAGAAATTCTTTCCAACAATATTTTCTAATAAAACTTATAATAAATAATAAATTAAATAAATAAAAAAGTAAATATTATTAATTAATAAATAATAATTAATTAATTAAATAATTAATAAGTAAATGTTTACTATCTTTTATCTTTAATTTCTCTCTCTTATTTATTTATTTTTATTCAATTATAGAGTTTAAAGAAACATGATTGCCATGTTATAAAAGAAAATTTTCTATCCATATATATATGTTCTATTTTTGCCATAAAAAGTAAGAAGCACTATAACTAAATTGTGTTTTTTCTTCAGGTCAATTTGTAGTAAGGTGATCGATCCTGAGAGCTTACCAAAATTTCAAAAAGAAATAGTTATTATTTTGTGTGAGCTTGAAATATATTTTCCTCCCTCATTTTTTGACATAATAGTACATCTAGTTGTTCATCTTGTGAAAGAGACACAAATCTGTGGACCAGCTTATATGAGATGGATGTACCCTGTTGAACGTTATATGAAAAAGGGTATGTGAAAAACCGAAGTCGTCCAGAGAGTTGTATTATTGAATGATACATTGTTGAATAATCGTTTGAGTTTTGTACTGAATATTTGTCCAATGTTCAATCCATTGGAGTCCCCAAATCTCATATTTTTGAGAAAAAAAAGGAAAAAAGTTAATTGGAAATAAATTTTTTAGAGTATCAAGGGCTGAACGAGATCAAGTGCATTTGTATGTTCTACAAAATGACAACGAGGTTGAGTCGTATGTTGAAATGGACAAGGATATACTCTGAAGTTTAAATCTGAATAGAAATGAAAATTGGATAGTACGAGATTACAATCGAAATTTTATACCATGGTTTAAGGATCATATTTATTCAAAGTTTAATTTAGATCTTGCTTCAATAACATAAAGGTTGAGATGTTTAGCATATTGAATGTGTTTTCTTATAGCGCATACAGAATTAATGGATACACATTTTATACCAAAGAACAAGATGATAAAAGTACTATGCAAAATAGTGGTGTCACAGTGGTAAGGATTTAAACCCAAGTATGAAGGATTTAAACCCCAAATATGCAAATCTATCATATTTTGGGGTTATCGAGCATATTTGGGTGTTTGATTATGAGAAGTTTTAGATTCTTATCTTTGGTTGCAAGTGGATATATAATAGTGACATACGAATGGATAAGTCAGGATTTTTGCAAGTGGATCTTGATAGGGTGGGGTACAAAGATGAGCCTTTTATTCTAGCCTCTCAAGCTAAACAAGTGTTCTATGTCACTGATCCAACAAGTATGAATGGTCTATAGTGCTTTTATCTAACAAAGTGATTGATGATAACAGTGTAGATCAAGGTGATATTGATGTTGAGAATGAGTCATATATTAGAGGGAATGAATCGTATATTAGAAATGATCAAGATGAGAATATTATAGTGAATGAGTCATATATTAGAAACGATCATAATGAGGGAATTTGGATCAATCCATCTGTTCGCATTGTTAAGAGACAAGTAATTCATGTTCCAACTAAGAAAAGAAAGAGATGTTAGTGAAAAAGGTACTAGTAAAATGTTATATATTTTGTCATTCAATAAAATTATATATTTCTTTATTCAACAAAATTATATATTTTGTCATTCAATAAAATTATATATTTGTCATTTTATATATTTAATGGATTATGGAATTTCATATTGTGTTTATGTTTTTCTTTATTACAGGTCAAATGGCTAGTAACGAGGAAAACTCACATGATGCTTCTAATAATGATGGAAAGGAATCAATTCATGATATGCAAAATGAAATTACATGAGGAATAACTATTATGAAGGGAATCATTCTTGCAAGAGATAAAGGAATAAAATATGACGTACATTGGAATCCAGATAACCAACTAATTGAGCATCACAGTGCAATGTTGACAAGTTACATTGGTTCCCTTGTAAGGAGGTAAATTCCAATCACTTGTGATAATTAGAGAAATCGAGAGTTGAAACCCGCTAAAGAAAAAATATGGAGTGAGATACAGGTACCGTATGTGATGTTATTTGTTTTTATTGACGATTATGTCTTTAAATTACTTATATTAACACACTCTATGTATGTTTTTTCATAGAGGTCTCTTAACATTGATGATGATCGAAAAACATATTATCTTCAATTGGTCGGAAAAAGACACAGAGGGTTTCGATCTTTTTTAACAAACAAGTTTCTTAAGGACGAAGGAAATTTTATTGAAGCAGAACTTCCAAAGACGTATGCAAACTTGATTTCACCTGAAGAATGAGAAAATTTTAAATCCAAATGAAGAACCACATATTTCGAGAATGTGAGTGACATAAATCGCTAACAAACATCAAGTCCTGCGTATCCATACAAAAAATGGCGTATGGGATATGCATTCTTACAACAAAGAATAGTAAGTATATATAAATGCTATGATATACTTGTTCATCATGTGTTAAAGATTAACTTATTATTTGTCTTAATGTGTAGTTAGAAGAGGAGAAAAGTGAAGAAACATATCTTCCCGAGGTAATTATATATATTATTATGAAATTAAATTAGCATAATTTTTTTAATTAACATATATACACATTAACAATTACATGTTTATTATTGGTTTAGGGCATTTCTCCTTGTCAGCTCTATTTGTTGTCACCAACTTATCGCATGGTTGTCAAAGGAAAATTGCATAACACTTTAGGAGATGTACTTCACCATAAGCTGATCCCTGTTGGATTTTTCAAAGTATCGATTGACATTGCTTTAGGGGGAATGCGATATTACCTATACCAGACGATATTTCAGATGCAACATTGGTCAGAGACGCAATATGATTGTATGTTGTATGGCCGTCAAACCTCATTTGCATAGATGATGAGATATATTGAAAACCATTATGAACCTTTGAGTATTCAAATGTTTTACGAGCCATGTTAGTTATTTTAACATTTATGTAAATTTTATTTACATGGTAATGTTAGACTCCTACAAAATCCAAATCAAAAGATAAGGGAATTACAAGGCACACCGAGTCAGTTGCATAAAAAAAGGTACATTGATATATATATATATATATATATATATATATATATATATATATATATATATATATATATATATATATATATATATATATATATATATATATATATATATATATATATACGCATAGAAAATGTTAATTCTATCCTCCAAAATCAAAATCTTTGTGATCTTATACATTCCTAACTAATTATATGATATTTAGATTCATGCTCAAGAGTTGCAACAAGTCAGCAGGATTAAGAAGCATACATTTAGCAACATGTCCAAAAGAAAAAAGGATCTTGCAAAGACCGAGCCTAAAAAAACCTCTATGTTTGTATTTAGGTCGTGCCTTTAAACATTTATAAGAACAACATATATGATGGATGGTGTTGCTCGTGATATACCTATTGAGTAAGGTCGTTTTGGTTTTCATTATTCTGAAACAATTGCTAAAGAGGAGATGGATCATATTTTTAGTCATGCTGAATTAGGCATGGGTGTTATCAATACAATTGCTAAGGTCTTTTATTTAAGGTTCTTGTATGAAAAATTGAAGCGCCCACGTCAATTGGCAGAAAGATTCTCTTTCTTATCTCCCCACTGTATCAATGCACGGGAAATCAAACAAAATCCAAATATAGTCAAAGACTACTTAGTTTGTGCATTTGTAGCTAACAAAGATATAGAAAAGTTGTTTCTTTTACCATATAATACTGACCATGGGTTGGATTTTCATTCTAACTTCATTTATTATAATTTTTCATTTTTTGACGTTGTATAGAAAATTTCTATTATGGACTGGCCCAACGGCTAGAGTGGGTCCAGTCTAACCTCCTCCTTCGGCACGGGCCATGCGACCACGACTCGGGATTTCCCTCCCTCTGTCGGGAACCATCAATCATTTGCCCTCCTAGACCAGTACTGACCTACGACAACCGACAAGCGCCTCTCAGTCTGCTCGACCTCAAGTCGGCCAGACAACTAGGAACCGACCAGACCGTTGCCTATAACCTACCTCCTCCTTGAAACTAACGGCTAGTTGCAGGCACAACTGCCCAGTTTGACCAAGTCCTGGCAGTTACCTATTTTTGTGGACCAACATGTCTAGGCCCAAAAATAGAGACCAATGGCCAAGCGCCAAGGACATTATATAAACCCTCACTTATGTGAGGAACAGGTATCGAATATTGACTATTCATTACTAAAACCATAATACTTTTCTTGTATCTCTTTTTGCTCTCACACTTACTTGATCATCGAAGTGTCTTGCAAGTACAACCCCCCTTTTTTCCTCCTCGACACTCCATACCGTCTGAAGATCATCATCCGGCCACCTTGTAGGTTCTGATCAATCAGTAAGATCAATTTCCATCAAACTTTTGTTTAATTT